TACATAATGATACTGTACTTCTGGTCATTGCTTTGGTTTTTCCATACTTCCACTTAGTATTTATATTTACTTAAACAACATGGACCTACTTTAGTGACAATGCTTCCTTTAGGTAAGTCGGTCTTTTGAAGATCTTACCTATCACTATGTAGTGAGATCTACTTGACAGGTACGATGCATTGTCATATTGCACATAGTATCCGGTGTATGTTACCGCTTCACAGCTGTGAAACGTTAATTGTGATATTGAGTATAGCATATGAAATCTATAAATTTACCTATTTCCAGTAAATATGAATTAACACTAAATGTACGCATTGTTTATTCGAGATTATATCTCGTATGTATATGATGGGTTTGTTTTTAATGAAATTTTTTTTTTTTAAATAACTACAAATGTGATATTATTTGTTATATTATAATCTCTTGTATTCATCTGTGTTATTATATTTTCAGGCATCAGATCACCTGATCAAGTCGAACCAATATTCGGTGCTAATTCAACCACTGCAACAGCTGGCATTGACTTAACTGACTCTGCCTACACGCCGAATAATGGCGGCTGTGGCGGTGGAAATAACGGAGCACCTAAACCTCTGCAAATGCTTGAAGTGAATTTTGAAGTACTTCATTCGGGTGCTGCTGTTCTTACAGGTAGGTGTAGACATGTGTAGTTTAGGTTTGTCAAACTCAGCTTACTCCGAATATATAAATGTTCCAGATTTTGGTTTTATACGCCGTTGAACTGTGCAGTTAAGCTGCGTTGTGTAAACACAAGTGACATTCAGATTCCCATAAACACGAATGAGAAGTAGGTCTTCATGAATGGATAAAGCAGGTCAATTATAATAAATATACATGTACAAAAATATGTTTTGTATACACGGCAGATTCAGGTATTAATATTTCTTTGATTTTCATAAAATACTTGACTGAATTTTTATTATAGATGGTATAACTTACACATTGTTCATAAACACTATTAGTAATGGTTCCATCATGGCTGCCACACCAACAGGAAATGACATCGTCATGTTTCTTTCACATTTCATTGCCCTTTATAAAGTGTTTGTGTTTTGTATTTTTATTATTAAAAATTTACAGACTGTCCACCGTTTGTTGAAATTTTTACCCCAGTTATGGCTTAGATTAATTACAATGAAAACCAACAGAAGCCAGAAATATTAATACAGTGAAACCTGTTTAAAATGACCTAAAAACTGGAACTATATGTTCAGTATATGAGTTATTGTTAGAGAAAGAACTGGAAAAGTGTTTAGTTTATAGGTTATTGGTGAAGAAGGGACTAGAAAACACAGGTTTTTTTCTATTTCTTTACTACTTGAATTACAATTATTACAGTTAGTTGGCCCTGGCCCCTTGTGGAACAAAGTCCTTGAATTTAATGAAACTATAGGATTATTTGTAAATTACTACTGCGGCAAACATCAAAGGAAGTGGGATGATGTTCCATATCACGTCTACCGAAATAAGTTCAGAAATTACTTTATTTGTGTTTAAACGCTCCATATTTTTGTTTTTCTTTCATCCTCAGGTAAGTTTTTTGTATGCTAAATTTATTTAAAAAAAAAAATGTTGTTTGGAACTTAGCAACGTACAATTGAAGAGCACAAACACATGTATGTTATAAATTCAAAACAACCCTCGTAAAGCGTGTGCTATGATGTAACAATAAACAAAAAGAATAAAATATGCCATAGTGCATAAATGATTCACATAATGCAGGCTCCAGCCCCCGGGTCTAGCAAATCCAATCATTTGAAAAAGTCAAAATAATTTGGGGGAGAGGTGGGGAACATAATTAAAATATATATACCTCCCTCCTAATTGTTAGCATGTACATCATTAATCCTGCAAAGAATCAGTGAAACCAATGTAATGAATGGTTTTGAGTATGATTACGTTTTAATCTGCTCCAAATGTTGCCATGTGCAATTCATTCAGCTCATTTGGTTATACTCCGGATATTATGATTGACTCCAATTAATAATTCACTGCACAAATTAAAAAAAATATATTTTAAATATCAACATTTTCTGATTAGATTTCTAAGATAATTCTTCTTGTATCAATTCCAGGTGCGAGAGACTCGCGAGGTGGTGCAGTGTTAGAGATTTACACAAATAATCATATATGGCGACTTCTTGAATGCTGTAGTGAAGAAATCACAAAAGTTTTTATGTACTATTACGGTATTCCCAGGTAAGTTATAGTGTAAGAACAACTTTTGTAGCAAAACAATTAAGAATTCATAAATGGGTAGAATATTGAATAAATTACAGAAAGGCTTATGAATCTATAAACTTCATTGAACCTGATTGTTACCATACAGTATAAAATAGAATGCCAACTCTAACAACATCAGAATCCAGGAACAAGTATAAAATTCTGGAAAAACAAACCAGACAAACACAACACAGTACAACATGGTCAATTTAGGAAGAGATACATGGGTCTCCTGAAAACGAACCAAAATGTGATATCAAGTGTTTCGAAAAGAATGAGCACATCCCACCTCATTGCGGTACTCACCACATACCTGCCTATATAAAGGGATATAGTTAGCTCAGTTTATTGGATCACGAATGCCCTTCGCATATGATTTATTGCATTGATTTGTATAAGCTTGTAAGTGGTTACATGCTACTTGAAATCTTGTTAACATGGTTTATTTTAATTTTATTTGTACCATAGCATGTTTAACGCTCAGCCAATTACATTTATTTTAATAATAAAATTGAAAACAGGTGACAAACACGGAACTTTGTAACAAGTGCTCATTGGTCAGTTCGAGTACCGTAACGTTATTAAACCAAGCTTAAAATTAGTTTTCAAAGTCTTACTCATACAAAAAATATTTACTTTGCTCACTTTTTACCTGTAACAACTATGATGATATTATTTCACTCCAGGGAACAAATACAGCAACGAGGCTTGAGTGTTATTGTTGACGCAAGGGGAGCATCTACGTCGGTGCTTGAAGTACTTGTAGATTCTCTTTATCTTTTACAGGTAAGTAAGAGTGCCCTCTACCGACATCCACTCTCTATTTCAATTAAGTAATGGATTATCTGATTGGTCAGTTATAGCTCTATGGCTAATTGCCAGCCATTTACACAGTGTGCGTGTTGCTGTGCACTAGTCCCCAGTCATAACTTTCTACTTGTATTGTCCCGTGATCTGAGCAAGACGCAAACAACCCAACGTTAGTCTGACCTTGTACCGAAATGTGAAGAATGCATGTTTTTTTCAACAAACTGGTAAAAACGTTTATTTTTATCTATTTTTACCCCCTACTTTGTTAAGCAGGAATGTTTTTTGCAATATTACTCTAACCTTACTTATCTTTGTTTTATAAACAATAATAGGTTGACGTGACATTCTCTCATTTGCCTTTTAACTTACTACCAAGCGTAACTCTCGTAAACAAATACCGTTCCATTCAGAGTTCTACTCAGAGTCTTAGCTGTCATGAACTGTGGGTAATTTCTCAGCTCAGCATTGTGTATTCTGTCATAATTTTAAGTTGGTTTTATATAATGTAATTTTGTGGATTTTTTTTTTTTTAAATTCAGAATAACAGGTCTGGTGCTATTAATACAGTTTATGTTTTATTAGAAGCCAAATCACCATTACTCTATCTCAATTCAACACTATTTAAACCTCAAGTAAATTTCAAGGTAAGAGATTCACTTAAATAATGAACCCTAAATAATGAAGATCATTTTTTCAAGTCAAACTATTGTAAACAGCTCCTATCAAATTCAAGTCAACGGCTTTTAGTTTACTACATTGCCCGAAATTGGAAGTTCTTCAAACAGACTGCCAATCAACTGTCCTTGCATGGCAGACATTGGTGTATGTAATATGTTAGCACACAACAATGGGTGAACCGCTCAAATTACATTTCCCCATTTCCCATGAGGCACTAGTGTAATTTCAGAGATTTTTGAGCCGTTAAAGGCTTTTCATTATATTGTAAGTGATATTGGGTGTTTTGAAAATTATAGAAAATGGGAATAAAATTTGCATTATTTTTAAAATTTTTCTTCTTAGATTATATTTGTTGACTAAAGCGTGAATACATGTAAGTCTTGAAGTCGTATATTATGATTGATAGAGTACTTTTTGTTGTCCTAAATTATTTCAAAAATAGTAAAAATAATTGCAATCTTTAGCATTGTGTTCTATGGAATTATTTGAAAAATATGAGGAAGTTTCTCAAAATACGTCACTGTAACACACAAACGAATGATATTTCATGATTTATGGCTAACGTCTGAATGTTTCTACTTTAAACCAATTTTGCTACTAGGAATGTTTATATCTTGACGCTTTTATGTCACTCATAAAGACAAAAATTTGTGAATGTCACTGACACACTGCATCATGGGACAGCAGCAAAATCTTCACTGACTGCTAAACTTTACAAAATTAAAGTAGTTTACAGTATTGATCTCCAGACATCGTTTTTCACTTCGTGAACTTAATTCTATTTTTAGACGACCCCGTTTTAATAATCAAAACCAAAAGGTGGTAAACTTTTATAAATAGTTTTCCCTTTCCAAAAACTCCCAGTGTCACACAGGATGGCCCATTAATTACAATAAGCTTATGAACCATATATGTTATATTAGTAGTGTCTATAAGATTACGTAAATTACAGAAGTTTGCCTGTCAACAAAATAAGTATGTAAATTACGGGGGTTTGTCTCAAACAAAGTAAGTTTTAATTTAATGATCCAGTGTCCAATAAAGGAAACTTTTGGTTATGTGCACTAAATACTGTAAAATACTTTATTTTCGCTTGGAATTAATTTTTGCTGAAGAAATGATTCAGTGAAAATAAAATCCAGCGAATATACCTTTTTCTGTATATTTTACATTCATTTCATGAAAAATCAGTGAAAATAAATTCTATACAAAACACCTAAACTCTTTTCAGCGAAAAATTAATTCCAGCTAAAATAAAGTATTCTACGGTAATTTAAATCTGCAGCAGGTGACAGTTCCCAGCAATTAACAGTCAGTGTTGTCTTTTTAGCTTCGCTGTCGACTTTGTCGAGCGGAGCTTATCATATGAGTGATTGTCCGTCGTCGTCCGTCTCCGTCGTCGTCGTCCGTGTCAATGTTTTACTTTTTCGACTTCTTCTTGAAAACTACAAGCCTGAATGCTTTGATACTTGGTGTATATGTACCTTGGGTAGACCTCTCTCAGATTTGTTCATTTCATGATGATATCTTCAATTCTCTAATTTTGGTGAATATTTTTGTCATTTTTAGTAAAAAGTGATATTTTCGACTTCTTGTTGAAAACCGCAAGTGCAATTGCTTTGATATTACATATATAGGTACTACATGTGGACCTCTCTCAGATTTGTTCATTTTGTAATGATATCTTTAATTCTCTAATTTTGGTGAATATTTTTGTCATTTTTGGTAAAAAGTGATATTTTCGACTTCTTGTTGAAAACCGCAAGTCCAATTGCTTTGATATTACATATGTAGGTACTACATGTCGACCTCTCTCAGATTTGTTCATTTTCTAATGATATCTTCTGTTCTTTAATTGCCATGTGCATTGCTAACAGCGGAGCTATCTCAGCCGACAGGCTGCTTGTCTAACATTTTTTGCAATGAGCAAACAGCTAACTTTGCATCCAGTGCAACTTTGTCTTAAAAACTATATTTCATATGCGAAGTTTGTGTGACCATCTTCCAGTTTAATGTGTCATTTTGGAGTCAATTAGGGTCAATCAACATAACCATCCAATCATTTATCTTTTCATTCTGTGGTTTTTGCCCAAAGAACAGTGGCCTTCCTAATTAGATTGTGGCACACTCAGTGCACCAACTACTACGCTACATGTGATCTATTTGTTTAGATATTATTCTTCATTAAAATTTAATTCATTCCCGGTTGTGTGTCCATGGTACAGTGCGTAGTTTTCATAGAAGGAAAAAGATAAAAAGGAACATTCCATGCAAGTTTTCTTTTTTGAAAACAAATTCCACTTTGATGAATATTAACCATCTTAACCAATAAATTATAAAATCTCGTGGCAGTTTTATTAAATCAATACATATTTTGATGTAGAAGAACTTAAAGAGCTCAACTATCTCGATACCTATCAATAAAGTTACACAATGACTTTATTTCAAGGTCAATATATACAACATTAACATACAATGTAAATCCAACATGGCTGAATAGTAGAAATCAGCCTGCATAAAAATTCAAATACACCTAGTGTGTTTTCCCAGTAATATATTTGTAACCGAACACTCCATGTGTTGACATTTTCCCTCCAGTGTGTTTAATACTTATATGGCCTTTCCCTGACCTCCATTAATGTACACAACTCTGTATTGTATAATTAGACAAATTCTCTGCAAGCCTGGTCATATTTTTAGCAACCGTTCTCTTCGTCATTGCAGTTTGAACTGTTGTCGTCGGTGGAAGCGCTGAATAAATTCATTCCATGCCATCAAGTGACCAGCGAGTTCAGCGGTACTTATCCATACAATCATGAGGATTGGATTAGGTTTCGGATGGTAAGCAACTTTTCATCATTTCTCTGCATATTTTGAAAGTCACCTAACTAAATTCCTATTGATGTTTTCTTCTACGGCGATTAATAGCAAACCGGGATGTTTTGATTAATACATGGGAAAGTATTCCGATAAGGTCTCTAGTCTCAACTACATTGTTTTATGCATGATTTAGGTCTGGAGTTTTAAATTGGATAGTTGTGTAATTTCAAAACACATGTACAATTATTATCTCAGTAACAACAGATAACAATTAATGGAATATTCGTAAGCCTGGATTTTAAACAAAAGCCTAAAATTCAGAGATTGCCCCATGACACTATTAGGAAACTAAAATGCCTATTTCCATTACAAGTCATAACTAAAGCTTATTTGATACAAACTACTACAATATCAACAGCAGTGATTTTAAGGAAACACCAGAAACTGCTTTATGGTTTGTGCACACAGTGTTGTAGACCCCTGAAAATTTTTTACTACAAAATTTTTTTTATAATTTTTCAAAACGATTGCAGATTATCGTAGTTCCTTTAGGAATACATTATCTTTGTGATTTTATTAAAACTTTCATTATAAGAGAGAAGCCTAGACGTCTTTAAAACAAAGCTTTGTATGCTGTGTATGATACCGGGTACTAACATTTTGAAAAGTTGACAATTAAAAACTCTGGGAGAGGATATGATATAAAACTACTGAGCAAAACATTTGTTTTCCTATTCTTAGTTTTCGTTTTTTTCATGGTGCCGTAAATATTAGTTTTGCTTTTCTCAGTCAAATGTGTATATATTTTGTTCATAATTTTTTTCCTGTGAATCCATGCCACCCACTTGAGTTTCTCATAGTCACTCCCCCCCCCCCCCCCCGGAGTTTCTCATACACATCCCTTTACATGCAAGTAAACCAAAATTATTTCACCACGTTTGCAACTTTGCCCATTTCCTCCAATGAAATGACTCCACCCATGTTTGCCTGCATGTCATAGGTTATCAAGCTTGAAGCCCTGAAATACATTCAAACTCTGCCAGTATCATCTTACAGCTATAACTGTACACTAATGGTGATGTGATGATCTATATATCGTGACTTCATTACACATTATTGATGTGTTACAACATGCACCCTAGTGTTATCTTTTAATCCCAGCAAAATTGTTTGGCACCCAATGTCAAAAGATATGACATCTTTGAAAGAATGAACTGATAACAGTTTTAAATCCAGAGATATGGGGGACAAGAATTATAATTGCATATTACAGCGTATGCCGTGGTGGGAGTGTGTACAAATCCTTTGCAGTCTCAGCTGTCGCTGGGTTGGAGTGGTTTGTTAGCTTGTGTATATATCTGGTAGTGACACTTATGTGTGGGCTTTGAATAAGAACACAACATTCAGCACCATCTATGAACCTCATTGATGGTGCTGAACGTTACCTTGCATAAAACGTAAACTGCAATTGACCTCACTGTGAGGACTTGTGTGTTGTGGAATACGGAAAATTGGCCCGAAGCATGCGCATGTGTACGCAACATTTTAAAGTCCATTTATTAATAGAAAGCATTTATTATGAAATGCCAGAATCACGTGAACCCAATCTGTCTATTGTGGTTATTTGAAAACTATACACGTTTTCTATCATACTAAACTGGTCATCAAATTTAACAAGTGTCTGGTTTTTACACTGTTCACCAATGTGAGTGTTGGCAAGCCTAAATAAATTTTGATTGTATATAGCACCACCGGTGGCTGTTCCCGGCTCCATGCATCTAGAAATAGCGTTGTTTTACTGCAACAATTCCAATGCTATCATTGACTGTGTTTAAAATAACGAAATTGTCTCCCAACTCACATTATTTGTTTATTTATCCTTAACATTTTTTTTCAAATACTTTGCATTGTAATGAAAAGTATGATTTGGTTTTAAAAATTGATATCAGAATTTACTATATTTACTATTAACATTTCACAAAACATTTTAGTGTCTGAAATTTGTACTGGGTGATTTATTATGCAAATTAGTCATTCTCCCAAATTCTGTTTTATAGTTGCTCAGGAAGGTCAAAGTTCCTGGGGTTTTGTTTTGTTTTGTTTTGTTTTGTTTTTCCATGAAAATTCCTCACTCTTTGATTCTTGTTTATCAACAAGTGTCTTGGCTGTTTATACGAAAGTTTTTTTGTTCTCTTGTAGTAACATGTCAAATAATGTGTCAGCCTCACAATTAAACACATTTGGCATCTATTCTTAACTGAAAACTGTCTGAAATGAAAACATCCCAATGTTTTTTGATAGATAAATACACTACCTATAGTGTGAACATTTCAAATCAAATTAACTAAAAAAGCACTCCGAACTAATCTTCCTTCACCAACCCAAGAACCAAAAGGGAGATAATGTCAATTTTTGAAGCATAGTCATATAGTGTCTTCTTATTTTTAAATCAGCTGAGTGTTTCACTTGAGACAAAGCTCCAAAATGTAGACAACACTGTTCGAATGGAAAAAATAGTTCCTTCAAACATGTATCTATATAATACGAAGTGGAGTTGTTGTACATGAAATCATCCCTCGTACACAAGACATGACATTGTTGTAGCCCAGGTATTTTAATCCCAAAGCACAGAATTAAAATCTGAAATCATCCGACTGTCACGTTTTTCATTTTCAGAATGTGGAACCTTTCATGGCTGGTTGTCGAGGAGCTGCCAAATTCATTATTAGTATAACAAAAGAAGTAGCTAACATTGAGAAGCCTGAAAGCGCACAAGACACCATCTATCTCATAGAGAAGCTGGAGAGGAAGATACGGGGAGTCTACGAAGACTCGCGACTTGTTGGTCTCCAGTCTGAAGGAGACGCTATTTTAACAAGGTTAAGAAATGAGCACACGCTTTTAGCACAGGCTGAAGATTTCAGGTAATATTTTGTTTTTATATATATAGTTTTTCCTTATAAAATTACCATTTTGTTTATTTTAGGGTGAATTTTTGTATCATTGGCATTAAATCATGAAAATTTCCAACAGTAAATCCAAATCATTCAAAAATTAACTCGACTTATACTTAAAACTATTGAAAGGCAGAATTTTCCCCATCCCCTCTGACATCCCTGAAAATCAATTCCCTCTTCAATGTTCCGGAGCTCTTTACCATAAGCAATCAATCTTAATTTTCAATCTGTCCCCAGACACCTTCCTTGGGGCAATGGTATATCCCAACACTTCAACAATGACACACCCCTGTCATTGTCCAGTCTGTGGTACATCCCCTATGCAGTTCACAATAGGAGGTTTTTTTACGAGGATTCGGTGTAAATTGTATTATAATACTCTTGGTGCAGTGGGCGGAGAAATGATTTACACAGTCCCAAAGAAGACTGATGTATCATTTACATATGTATATCATCACTGCCATTGAGTCCTCCATTAAATTAACTGAACCCTGACAATTGCGCATTTGGTTTGACTCTGTGATTACACACACTGGTTTACTTCCATGATGTATGAGAACTAAAACCTTTGATCTGGTAATCTGGCGTCCAGGTGTACACAAACTAAGCGTCTGATCCACCGAAGTGTTCACGTGTTCATCAGTTGGGATAAGATACAGCTATAATGCCGTTTTTACTTCGGTTCACACATCTTTGGTCTTACTGGATTTTGATTTTTACTCACCCTTAAAACTTAAATGTCTGTTTTACATGTTTGAGTTTATTCTTTGTAAGTACATTTTCACTTACTGCATGTACAAGAAAATGATTTACTAATGCTTTATGTTGTGTTGATACATGTTCTACGATTGATTAGATCTGTTCAATGACTATTTCCTAATTTATTCTTAGCCATCCTGCTATTGTACCTCTGAGCACAAGCCCTTTTCACGCGCAGTCACCCCCCCCCCCTTCCCAATATTCTTGATCTTATTCTAAAATGCTCTTTTATAAATGTCCTTCAATGTTGTGGGGAGCCAGATGTTGTACAAGGACTACCACAGCACCTATACTAATGCAGTTAACTTTTCTGTAACACATATCTATTGTGGTTATATTGTTTCCATTTCATTGGTTCATAATTAGATAATAATCTGCCATGAAAATCATCACAAAAACCTCTTAATTAACCCTGTCTCGTTAAAGTTAACAATATTGATTATTCCTTCATGTTTATCTCTGCGTGTTACAGGGACTCTTTACAAAGTGTCACAATGCTGTACAATCAGATCCACGAAGTTGTTACAACTTTAGACGGTTTAGCCGCTACTAAACACTCCCAACTCGAACAACACTTACAGTTGAAACTTTTCGAGGAGGAATCAGCCAAGGTGAGAAATAAGAATATTTTATAAATATTTTTAATACAATACCATATTTTCTCTATTATTAGCTCATCACCTTACATAAATGACGGAGATGATAATGGTTTATGTACATTTCAGTAATTGCAGCAAATACAGTTGTCTAAGCTTTTTATTTAAACTCTTTAGCCATTTTTTTCCTGTTAAATTTATTTCACTGGTAATGATTGGCTAATCACAGATTACTTTTGGCATTTCACCCAATAGGAATGCATGTTACAAATCAAACTTTTGTTCTCTTTGACAGATTGCCACGTGGGTCTGCAATGATGGGGAATCATTTCTTAACAGAACGGTTGTTGTTGGCGAATCATTATCAAGCATTAAAGCCACACAACGCGACTTTGAAGAGTTTTACTTTGAGGCTATGGTAAAGAAATCTTGTTTTTACTTTTCCCACCCCAAATGGTTAAAGTGTTAACCACGAAATATAGCAGTTGACCTACTGGCATCAGAGAACAATAATAATTCTGGATAGCTTTAGATGATGCAGATTTTGCAGTACTTTGCTGACCGGTGTAAATCACTTTGACAGCGTGTAAGGTCATGTATATCATTTAGTAAGATGCTAACTGGGTTTGTCAACTTGTACAACATGATGTACTAATTTATATGATCTGGTTCACTTCACAAATATTTTTTTTCAGTACAAATGTATAATATTTATTATTTTTTTTTACAGCCTAATAGTAAATTGGCATTGTTACCTTGAACTCGTTGAAAATATATATTTTGACAATATTGTATCGCATACTTTCTTGTACATCATACATGTACCCCCTTGCAAATAATGGAATATTCCATCTGTATCTTTAAGGTCTTACCTTTCTGTTTAAGGCTGGCGGTGCCTTTGTTCTGAGGTCATTCTCTTTTTTCAGTTCAGTGTCATGTATTCTTGGGATGGAAATCAACAAAACATGTTTGTGATTGGGTTACCGACTCTTGAACTCCAGTCATTGCTATTTATGTATTCCCTTGATGATTCCTTGACATGATTACTACAAATTACATGTTTCTTGATAACAAACAGGAGACGACTTTCCTCTGGTGAAAGGAGACCTAGTCTATTATTTAGTCCAAATGTAAAGTTTTCTTTTCAAAAAGTGTCCAAACAAATCTAGAAAATAGAGGGTCAAAAGGGTCAAAGTTCAATGTGTTAATAATTTGCTATTTAAATTAAGTAATGTTGTTATTCCGTAGAAACACATAAGTCAAGGAGAGGACCTGTTAGAAGAAGCTAGTATGTTAGTGCAGTCGGGACATTACGAGTCAACTGGAATTAAGGACCAAGCTAAGACGTTGAAACAGCATCTAAGGTCATTTATCAAGAATGTTGAAGATAGACGAGAGCTAGTGGAAGACATGTTAACTCTCTACACCAATCTCACTCAGGTGAAAATGAATACATTTAATTTTTATTTCTATAAATGTGAACTATTTTAGGCATTGTAAGCGTTTTCCAGGACAATATTTCACAGAAGCCATTTCCACTTTGTACCTTAAGGATCCCAGTGAAATTTTCACTATTATAAGTATTTGGTGATTTACTGGCAAACATTTGCCTCTCATGGTGATTCACTGTGCTTTTAAACATTTTTTGTGTGTACCGTGTACCTCCAAAATTTAAAATTTCTATGAATGTCTTTTGAATCTTTAGAACGAGGAGTCAGTGACTTTCAGCTGGGTCCTAGAAATTCACTGACTTTTACTCGGGTCCTAGAGGGTCGATGAATTTTGCTAAATTTTATTATCACGATTTCCTAAAATTATTAAAAAGTGATAATTGATTGCAGTGAAAATCAAACTGTTTATAGTATCTTGTACAGTACGTGCGTGCTAAGAACTCGTCCTGTGTAAATGACAATATTAGTTTAGTGACTTTTGAAGGTCTGTCTTTGAGTAATGTCATGGTAACAATCTGATAACTGTGTCTGTATGAACATCTGTTTTGCAATTTATATACTGTAGAATACTTTATTTTCGCTTGGAATTTATTTTCGCTATTTTCGCTAAAAGGATGATTCTGTGAAAATAAAATCCAGCGAATATACTTTTTTTCCCCTATATTTCACATTCAACTCGTCAAAAATCAGTGAAAATAAATTCCATACAAAACACCCAAATTGTCTTTTCAGCGAAAATTAATTCCAGCTAAAATAAAGTATTTCACAGTATGCCAATTGTATAAACCAGTCAATTTTCAACACTGTAGATTTTCACTATTTTATAATCATGAGGTCATTCATGATTTCAAACAATATCTTTTTTATCCCTGTTTGAAAACAAAACTACATGTTTCATTGTGACAGATTTCTGCAATTTTTTCAACAAAGTTTTAGAAAATTCTTAAATATTATGAGGTCAAAATACAATTAAATGCAAGTTAAAACAAATTGTTCAACATATTCATTTAATCATTCCTTCACATTGGTAGAGTGAACGTAATAGTGATACAGGAAATTAGGTAACCTTGCCAAAGGCTGTTACTTGTGTCTTCAGTGTTTCTCAAGAAAGTTCTGAAAAAATTTGTTTTCATAGAAAAAAAAAGGACATCAAGTTTATTTGTAGGGAAAGAATAAAGTTAACACATAGAAGGTCGTGTTCTCTTTTATATGAGGTCATCAATGTGAATTTGTTTTGTTTATTTTGGTATAGAAGTTACCTTTTGTTGTATACGGTAGTATTCATTCATCAGTGTACCAGACTTGGTACACATGTACATGTTACTCATATGTTGTTATGTATAGAGTATGTCATTGGCTGTTTCAGGTCATGTGATGATTCCCATACTTTGCATAGACAAATCTGAATCTTCAATACATATTCGAAATGCAGTCGTCATGAAATTGTTTCTTTATCACTTCTGTCTTCAGTACAGGTTCTGGAACACCAAATCTAGCAAAAGAGCATCTATTTGAGGCCTAGCTTGACCTTTTTTCCCCAGAACAATACTTTTATGCGATTTAATTTTCACTGCTAGAATGTTTGAGATTTCATGAATACAAAATTTCTGAATTGTCTGTTACTTTCAGTCTTACTGACCCCCAGTGACATTTTTGCCGCTACAAAAATTTGGTGTTTTTCTCTAGGTTGCAAAATTTTAATTAAAATATTTTACAAACATGCAGCTTACTATTCTTGTGTTTAATTTCGTAGGCAAGTGATTGGGCGCAGCTAAGTATGAAATACCTGGTGGTGTTAGACATGGATGGGTGTGTTTCCAGGGAAGACTGCCAACAACTCAGGAAGAAATTAGAGCAGCATTTACGGCAACATCCAGTGATTACTGAGGAACAGTTTCTGAAGATGAGGAAACTTGCTGATAAACACAATTATGCGAAATGTTTAGATGTAATCAACGAAGTACAGGAGCGGTGTCGAGATACTGAACAACTTGTGAATAGAAAGATAAAGAGTCTTGAACGACTCAAAGAACAGCTAAGACTGGATAAAGTCAAAAAGAAACTCTGTGATGAGTACAGGGAACTAGACATGAGAGATAGAGTGAGACCCGATCAAAGGACACCTAAGGGTGAAAATATGCGCCGACATACGACTGCAAAGTCTGAGGGGGCAAGCCCCAAAAGTGTTTGTTCAGATTCGCGTCATAAATACAGAGACTCATCACTTGGAAGTAGTGCTTCTGAGGATTCAGGAATATCAGAAAATAATAGAACTACGCCAAAAAAGACACAAAGGAGATCGAGTGAAAGTAATGTTAAATCCAACTCCAGTACCCCAGATCATTCGGTACTTAGGAGGATTGTGAAAGGACGATCGTCAGTATCGCCAAGACATACGGTATCGGCAACACCATCTGGAAAATATCAGGATATTGATATGCGAAGTGATGGCACTGGTGACAATGATGGTTTGTCGGATTTAGAAAATGATGATGCATTTCCTTCCGAGCTTCAGGTATGTGACCAAAATGGTGTGATTTCCATTCTCAAATTAAGTAATTTGCTGCAAACCAGTTTTACCCTGCAAACATAACGTAAGAATTTTGAATTCTTCTTTTGAGTCATTACGCTTTTGCTAGCCAACTGATTATCAGAATTTAATTCAATATCTTCTCATTTGTAGAACTTCATTACATTGAACCACCCCCCCCCCCCATACCATCTTCCGGTAATACTTTTGCTTACATGAAAAGACAAATATGTGTGGCTGTATGCTTGTAATCAGTCTTGGGTTCTAACTAAAATGTTTTTTGCGTTGATCTGATCTTCACATCTTTTTTTCCAATTAATTAATTAAAGAACGATTGGACACCTGGTGATGTAAACAGTCATTTACATAAATCCGAAAGTCTTCCCTCCTCCATCCGGTTGGACAGTGGCCTTAATCTTACAGAAGAAGAAAGGAAAAGACGAAAGAAAATGACGCATATAATGGGAGAGTTATTACAAACAGAACGGGACTATGTCAGGGCTCTTGACTATATTAAGAAGGTAATAATGCTAATGATGATTCAACATTGTACTCGAGAGAACAGTACACAAATGCACCCCAGTTGTCGCACTGTGTTCAATGTGGATCCCATGCAAGGCGAAATGTGCATGTGTGCCATGCTTTGATTTACTTATAGTCGCTTGTCATTTAGAACACTCTCATTCGCTTAGAGGGTATAACACACTGGGTAGTGAGATGCAGCTTTGCATCATGCTGTAGTCAAGGCGACAAACTCGTATTCATAAGAGGGGAGTGGGATAACATACGATGATATTTAAGAGTTACTGAATATTTGTATTTTCAATTGGAATTTATTGCTACAAATTATGAAAATAGTTTTCTCAATTTCTAAGTGATAAATATATATTACAAACTTTCAGTTGTCAATTTCAGTTGCTGGTGGTTATTGAAGAGACATGTTTTTAGATTACAGGTGTTTGGTTTTAGAGATGCATTTAAGTCACAGTTTTAAAGAAATGAATGCTCATAATCCCATTAAGATACTTATTTTGGATTCTCGGTTATCTTTTCATTCACAGAATTATTTCCCCGAAATGGAACGAGAGGACATTCCACAACCACTGCGTGGTCAAAGAGGCATCGTGTTCGGCAATATTGAGAAGATATATGATTTTCACTATAGATATTTCCTGCATGAGTTGGAGGAATGTAGAAGTGCTCCGCTACTAATATGCCATTGTTTTCTGAAATACGTGAGTAAATTAAATTATTAGTCTTTAGTGAGACAGAGTCCGAAAACAAGGACTGGAAATTTCAGCGCTATGTGTGCATTCGTCTGTGTATCGATCTACACATGTCGTTCGGACATGCCAAGATAAGTCGTAATCAAACTTTACACATACATCATACATCTTGAATATGTGGCCCATTTATTTTGTGACCTAGAGTGATTCACGATGGTCAACTGACAGCTATTTTAGTTTTAAAAAAAATTTAAATGAAGAATTTTTGCTCTAATTATATTTGTGCTTGGATGGATTTTGTTCAAAGATGGTGTATACATTGTACATTATGGAAACCCTTATGTACTTCACTTTTTTTTGCAGATTAAAATTCACAATGGCTGATTGGTGGCCATTTTGTGAACAATTCATTACAATATATTTTTAAAAGTTTAAATGTTATCATGAGAATAGCATGCTTGCTGATAGTAATAATTTAATAATCTAATGAGAAAGGAAACGACAATGAACAAATTTTTGCTCTGTGTGAACATTTGCGTTTGGTGACTGAATTCTTTTTTCTGTTATACACTATACTACTGTGTCGGAGGTAAACAAAAAATGTGACGTCCACCTCAAGTAAGAGCAATTTTGAACATTCAAATGAGTGCAAATAGGTAATAAAATGAATCTGTTTTTATTTTTCTAGTTATTTGATGTTAAAAATGGCGACAAAACAATGGTCAATTTTGATTTTTGTTCCCTGTAATGTACATACTAATAGTGCTTTCCAACCCAGTCATGTTCCATGTCGATTGTCATAGCATATATTTGTGTATTAACTGTATAATTCTTTCCACAGAAAAAGGAGCTGAATTTATATGCCTTATACAACAAAAACAAACCCAAGTCAGATGCTCTATTAGCTGAATATGGATCATTCTTTAAAAGCAAACAGAAAGAGTTAGGAGATAAGATGGACTTGGCCAGTTATTTACTGAAACCAACCCAGAGAATGGGAAAATATGCGTTGTTACTTAAGGATCTTATTAAAGAGAGTCCAGAAACAGAACCCGAGTTACAAGATCTTAAGGTGAGGTGTAATTTAGTAAGAATACTCATTTTCTCAAAAAGAAACTGGCATATACAACTAAAATCGATTCAGCTTGACAGCTCAACATAAGCAGCATGTCTAGTCTGGTGATTTACTGAAAGAATAAGTGGAAACTTTGCAAAGGTACAACCAGGGATAATATCATATAATTAAGGATCTGTCTTCAAACTGGTGGCACATATTTTTCACATATAGATGATGTTTATAATAATCACCAGTTACATTGTCTCTAACTTTCTTTGAGTCAGTGATTTATGTCTAGACATTTATTTTGATTCATTTTTAATTAAATATACAAATTTGTCACTATCAAATTACCAAACTGCACAAACTATATATAAACGACTAATTTGTCCATATACAATCTGTAAGTGGTGTAAATGAGAAACCTGTTAATTTGGCAAAAAATAAATTTTCATGAATCATAGGATATTTCATGGCATTTTGCAGTAACATCTATTCACTTGGTCTTGAGGAAAGTTAGTCACATGATTGTCTAAATTGTGAACATTTAATAGTTTACTGGATATTTAAATTTAAGCCTATGAATGTCAAAGTCAATTTTTGTCACATTTCAGAAAAACAGACCTGCATAATTTTTTCTCTATTCAAAAACAAAGCAAAATCTGTAATTTAATTTAAAATTACCTAAAATTGAAGAAAAAAAAACTATATTAAAATATGTAAAATGTTGTCTGAAAGTTTTGGCAGGAAAATTATGGTGCTCAAAATATGTAGTTGTTCTATTGAAGCGCATATACCCAGTAAATAGAATATGTTATTGTTAAATAGGACTAATTTTGACCTTAGACATACCTCTGTCATTTACCTAAGCACATGTGCCAGTAATAGAGCAGATTTCGTATTCTTAGAAACCTCACATGTGCTACTATTAGTTTAATAAATTTATAATAACGTGGTAGGTTAGTGACTGGTTTAATGCACTATAAATTCATAATATTCGATATTATAATCATTGACAGACAGGTCTGACATATAACAGTCATTTGATACAGTACTGTAATATTTATTAACATTCTTGCTATGATCACAGGCAGCCGAAGACATTGTGAAGTTTCAACTCAGACATGGAAATGACCTTTTGGCAATGGACTCCATCAAAGATTGTGACGTAAACGTGAAAGAGCAAGGGCAGCTGTTACGGCAGGATGAGTTCTTGGTGTATCATGGCAGAAAAAAATACCTCCGTCATGTTTTCCTCTTTGAAGACCTCGTACTATTCAGTAAAACCAAGAAAACCAACAAAGGGCATGATATCTACCATTACAAGAATTGTATAAAGGTATTTCATTCTGTATTCA